TTTTACATCTTAGGTCCATACCATAAAACTATAACTGTCATTAAAGAGGGACAGATGTAAAAAATAAAAGAGTCGTCCAAGGTCATACCTATAATTCGAAAATTCAGACCTGATATTGTATAATTCTTTAAATTTTGGACTCATTAAAATCCCTTAACACTCTTCAAAACCATCTGAATCATTTTTAACATCTTAATTCCACACTACAAAACAATACATATCATCAAAGAGTGACAGATGTAAAAACATAAGAGCCATCCAAGGTCTTACATGAAATTCGTAAATTAAGACCTGATATTGTACAATTCTTCAAATTTTGGACTCATTGCAATCCCTAAACACTCTTCAAAACCATCTAAACCATTTTTTTACATCTTAGTTCCACACTACAAAACAATACATATCTTCAAATTTTGAACTTGTTAAAAATCCTTAAACCTTCTTAGAATTCATCTAAATTATATTTTACATCTTAGTTCCACACTATAAACCAATGAATACCATCAATGAGGGAAGGATTTAAAAGACATAAGGGTCATCCAAGACTTCCCTCTAACTGAAAATGCTGCCAAACCAACTATACTCCATTTATTAAGAATTTTCCTCCTCGCTCTTAGAGTACTTTTGAAAGAGAGGTCTTTTAGTTGGTTGAATCTATTCAGTTTATCTATTCATGATGCATGCAAGAAAAAGGTGGATGAACGAACATATGTCGAATCATGAAATATTCATCTCACCAATTGCAGCATTTGATCTTGATGAATCTGCACTCATGCATGAAATTTATTCTGCCCTGGAAAATGGGGGTCATTTTAGAATCCAAAATAGTGTGGAAATAAGTGGAATCAGCAAGAAATAACGTGAATAGGAATGTAGTCAACACTCAAAAATGTATAGAAATGCTGGAAAATCATACACTTCTCTCAAATTTTAGAGAGAAATGGAGTGAAATAAGTATTCCAAGATTGAAATTTATCAATTTTTCACACATTTTCGTTTCCATTATAGTATATTGCATTTGTTATAATTTAATGTGTCTATGGAACTGTGGCTGTTCATTTTATTATTTTGTTGTTACCTCTCTGTATTTTACATGGAAATTGATTTGATTAAAAGAACAGCCTTATAATACGTCTGCTTATTATACTTCACAGTTTTCTCATAAAAATATGAATGCAGGGCCTTATTTTCTGGCATTTCTATGCAATTGAGACCATTGACTTCATCCATTTTCATTTTTTTCCTTGATGAAATTTTTATCATTGGTAGGTTCACATTAATCCTGTCATCAAAATTCAAGGAGAGCAATTTGAAATTAACAGATACAATCAGACTGGTGCCATGATCTGGTTCGGTTTTGGGCACGCTGGAAATCTACATGGCGGCCATTTTGCTATTTAAAGTGTGATATTTATCATTGTGTGTCTTCTTTATCATTGTGTGTCTTATTTCATTTCATTGTTTTTAAAATCATGATCCTTCTATATAAGACTTGCATGCAAGTGTGGGTGTTCCAAGAGTTCAGTGCTCTTTCAGTACAAGCCAATTACATGTAATTGGGATTGTAAATCCATATTGACAGTTAATGATGTTTATATGTTCCAATAAAAGAAAACATGGGCATTGTTATTTAGAATGTTAGATAAAATGTCAGTATGTAGAGATGACAAGTTATAAATTAACAGAATGAAATTTTACACTAGATTGCACTGAAATGCCCAAAATCATATTTTATTGAGAAAATGAGCGAAATAGGCTTGGCCAATGCGATTGTTTTAAGGAAGGGTAGTGTTACATATCCGTTGTATGTACCTGTTAAATACTTTCGATCATTTTTTCTTTGTTAGCTTTGTAGATGTAAATGTGTTTTTGTTTGGCTATTCCCAAATCATTAGCTATTTATCACCCATTATCTCCTAAAGGAGTATCCTCGTATAGGTAGAGAGGGGGAGTTACAGAATTAGGAGATGGCAAAGGAGATTCTCCTTTTGGGAGGTAACAGGGGGTGGAAATAGACACCTATGAGCCTCCTTTAGTTCATAAATTAAAACTGACAAGTTGGTTTTCTTATTGTGGAGTTTGGAGTAAAACATTTATTAGTGAACACCTCTCTCTAGTGAACACCTCTAACACCTCTCTCTAGTGAACACCTTTCTCTAGTGAACACCCTATCTCATCACATACTCCGCTGACTTCTGTATACAATTGCCTCTATGCAGTGAACACGGTCCTACCTATTGTGAACACATTTTTGTGGCTCCATATGTGTTCACTGTACACACAAGTTTTACTGTATATGTAAGTTAGAAGTATACATTGTACATACCATTTATGCAAGGGTTTACGAAAAACACCGACCACCGACCAGTCACTCTCCACAGTTGGGTACATGTGGTCGGTTGTCGGCTGACGGTCTTTTACATAAAGATGAAAAAATGCAAAATTAGAAGAAAAACTTAAACTAATGACTATAGTACCTTTACTAGGTCGTGATTTAAAAACGTATAATTAATCATTTCAAATCACGATGAAAACGTTACATCGTCGTGGTGTGTAATGTCATATTTTTAAGTGATGTTTCAGTTGTTCAGAAGACCAATTTCATCCTGGTTAGTCACTTCGGAAAAAAACGCACGTAACATTGCATTAAGTTCATTCATATGAAACGCAATAACAAAAACACACAAACATCGTCGATGTTGACGTCGTAACATTATGTTTGATTTCTCAGTTGTTAAATGTCAACTGGTAAAAACTGCATTTGATATGACAAAAAAAGCTTTCTAATGGTGTACTGAAATGGTAAGTCACTTTTAATCGTGTTTAGTATTTAGTAGGCTATGACGATAACAAATCATTTTTGTTTCGACATTGTTAAATTTCATTAAAAAGAAACGATAGGTTGGTTAATTAATGATAGGTTAGGACCTAAGGCAGGACAATTAATCGAGAGGAGACGGTCATGCCCAATTTGTTTGCTTGCCATTCCTTGCAAGGTACAAAATCGGTAAAACGTTGCCTAGTCTAACGATTGACATTCAAAATCAAATTATTAATATTTTAAAGCTACAAATATGTTTGGTCTTTTACATAATATGGTCGGTCTTTTACACATTTTCTTCAAACCCTGTTTTGAGGCTACCAGTGGAAAACACCGACTGGTCGGTGGTCGGTGGGGTCGGTCTTTTTTGTAAACCCTTTATGCAATACAGTATACAACAATATATGATTCTACAACATCTGCATGTATTGATTAATGATCTAATGTTCATTTTTTGCTATTTACCTTTATCATATGCATTCATTTCTATATTGACTGAATAATTGTGTATCTACATTAAATAGGCGTGATAACTCTGATAAATGTGTTGGGTCCATTCTATGTGAACTTAGTGCATATTTCACACATATACATGCATACACCTACACTATAATTAAGGAATAAATAATGATAGGCCATTAAAATATGGTGAAATTCAGCACGAGTTGGACAGAATGTTGTACAAAGCACGAACCGAACACTAATTATTTAAAAAATATCCTGGGGTTTCATCTGATAGGCAAAATGAATGAAAACAACAGGGAAAATGAAAGAAAACAACAGGGAAAATGAAAGAAAACAACAGGCAAAATGAATGAAAACAACAGGGAAAATGAAAGAAAACAACAGGCAAAATGAATGAAAACAATAGGCAAAATGATTAAACAACAGGCAAAATTATAATTTTAACGTGGAAGCAATTGTAAAATTCTCAAAACAACTGGTGATTTTGGTATAAAATTGCCACTGCCTGCTTCTAATGAAATCCAAGGATAACTCTCTCCTTTAATTTTAATAGCTGTCAGGGTTTCTACGCTTTTAATCTCTTTAATTTACCTTTTTGCTCTATTTCCCATCATGACCTCAAGTAATGAGAGCTGGTTTATACTGGTATTGTATTTCACATAACAGAAGATTCACAATATGTATCTTTACTTTCAGGATCCTAACACTAAGCTGTTCACCTCAAAGTAACCAATCAGAGCATAGGGATCTTCGACCAATTAGAGAACAGCTATCCACATATGGTGCAATCGGGACCTGTTCAGCCATGTCCAGTGGAAGCAACAAGCGATGCCAATACATACAGCGGACTATATCACATATCTGGCGTAAAAATTACATTTAATCGAGCGCTTACATCTACATATAAACGTGGTATTATTTATGATGAAAATTAATTGTGAAAAACTGTTCTTCGTGATACAACCGGCTTTATCATTGATATTGCATAAATCATTAAATAGAGCATTAATGGGATGTTACTGGATGCGTACAATGTAAGATAGTTGGCTGAAAAGTATACTGCTCTATGTTTATTGATCATTCAATTGTGGTATATAGCTGAAGTAAATGACACTTCTAAACTGGATGGACACCTCTTAACTGAATTGACACCAAATTGACACCTCTAAATCACAGATCGTTTGATGTCAAAGGGCAGATGTCACATTGCTAATGTGCTACTCACTATAAACAACAAATATACAATATATATTGTGAATTGAATAACAAGTTTACAATGACTATTACAGTGAGTAAATAGTGTATACGTAAATGTCTAATGGAGAACATATAAAGCATACAAAAATGAAAAAAACAACTATCTGGAACATTTGAAAATAACAAAGCGCAAAATAAGAATAAGAATAATCATATAATACATGTACTTGTACAATAGGAAAATAATAATTGTTCAATAAAAATTAATGTACAAACCCAAATTTAAGAGTTGACTATGTACATCATATTAGGGGACAAAGAAATGACGAAAAATGAAATGAAAAAGAATGACACAGGAATAAAATGACAAAGGAATAAAATGACAAAGGAATAAAGTGACATACAAGAAATGAAAAACAAATAAAATTACAAAGGAATAAAGTGACATACAAGATTAATAAAATGACAAAGGAATAAAGTGACATACAAGAAATGAAAAACAAATAAAATTACAAAGGAATAAAGTGACATACAAGATTGAAATGAAAAACAAATAAAATGACAAAGGAATGAACAACAAGGAATTAAATGACACAAGAATAAAATGACAAAGGAATGAAATGTGATATATCGGAAACATAGTCAAGGATACAGCTTTAATTCCGTTAATAATGGCCAGCTTTAGCACAGGAACATTGAGTTGCGCTGCTACTCTAATTATAGGTTTTATGTGTATTGACACAGCGTGCTATGCATTTAATTACCAACCCGATAGAAAAATCGGAATAAATAAATATCCTGAGGACAATAGAATACTGGGTAATATTGAGCGCAATCGGCGAAGTAGTGATGTCGGAGGTGATGTAACTGTATCTGACCAATCCGTGAGTGAGTTAGTATGTAATAATGACAGGACGCCATGTGTGTGCTATGGGTGTGATGTAATCGACAATTCAATGTCATTATGTTGTCGTGATGAATTTAACGAGACAAGCGATCATGCAGTAACAATTACATTGCTTGATACACCCATTGATTTCTATAATAACAATTTTGAGATTATTTTTAAGACGGTTGTGACTAATATAACTTGGAGGTTTTGTAGCCTTCACAATACAAAGTGCAATCTCAGTGAACCTATCCATGCAAATATTTCTTTAGATCTGCAGATAATTGAGCTAAGATCTATCAATAATAATCTAGATATTTCTTTTATCGAGTACACATCAAACAGACCTCCTGAAAGTGACACTACCCGTTCTAAACAGAAAATCAACCAGTCCATAAATCGATCGAGTGTCATACCACAAGATGTACTCTTCGAAGCCTGTCTCAATATGTCTAATGTGATATCTCAGGGCCTAAATAAGAATATTACCGTCAGTAGGGCCTGGTGGACTGTCCCTGCAATTCCTGTGAATTCTATAGACCTCGTAGCTGCTATCATATTGGGGATCTTAGGTGGCCTGTTCCTCATGGTGTGCTTCATTTCTGCAGTTAAAGCTTGCAGGTTGGTATTTTTTTCTAGTCTTGCTTCAAGACTGTGAACCCCCCCCCCTTCATATACCCTCTTACCCCCCTTATATACTTCACCTTCACCAAGAGAGGGGGAGGTCCAGAGTCTAAGCAAAACCATATTCTCTCTCACTAAGGCCCTCACAAGTTTATGAGAATTGTACCTGGATTACTTATTAACACTATGGTCGCATTTACTCCGATTTTTCAGTAACAGCGCCTGACCGATGAGTATTTTGTTTAAAATTGCATTCAGTTTTGAACAGAATACTCATTAGCGGGGCACCAGTACTGAAGATCGTGCAAATGTGAATAAATATAAGGTACATGTTTCAGCTAGATAATATAAATACTGTATCATCAACACCCATTTTCAATGCTCAATGGTGCAAATATTGGTATAAAATTGTGGATCAAAATGATAATGTAAGTTAGTAATCATAGGATATCCTGAACACAAATCTGTCAGTTTTTAAGTATTTGTCAGTATTAAATCAAATTTGATTTTAATAAAAAGTATCATAAATATTTTATCCTCAATGATATATTTCCAATTTGTGATTGAAACATGATACTAAACATTTCCATTATCAAATTACCTGTAATGCCAGTTCATAAAATATGGCAACAACATAAACACTCATCAAACGACACATAAACGTGATCTCTTGGCCATATAAATATGAGAGTACTAAGTACACTAGCTGTGCATTGTACTTTGGTAATTTTCTCGGCTATTATGTTTCATGTTTTTGTGAAAGTAAATTTCTTCTGCTCTTGATTACGAAAATATGAAGTTTTTCCTAATTTTGCTGTTTTTAATTTTTGCTTATTCGAAACATCTCAAAATATATTCAGGTCCTGTTTACTCGCACAATAAATCATGCATTCTTTATGCAATTTTGCAGTTCATGCACAGCACTGTTGAATAGTTTTATTATTTGACCTTTTACCACAGTGTCCTCTTTTGGACAAAGTGGAATTCACAGAATAATTATTACATAATATACTATCACATTTGTAAAGCAGGGGGTCATTAACAGAAACTTCGTAAAGTTACGAATTTGTAAATCAATTGTTGTAACCATGACGTTTCAGTTAGAGAACAATGGATTCTACAATTCTTAACTTTACGAATTTTCTGCTAATGGCCTCCAGGCTGATTAATACAGGGTGTCCAATGAGTAATGGTGATTATGCTCTAGAATTTTATTCAACAAGGAAACTAGAGGCCATTCACATTAAATCAAGACCAGGGTATAGGCTTTGTTTTGCCATATGCCAAATGTCATATGCCAAAATGTCCTATCACATTATTGTCATGGTATAACTGTGTCGCAGTAAGATAAATAGATTAAAGCCCTACAAAATCATAAACACTATATAATACAATCACTATGACAATCAATCAAAATCTACAAACAATTTGTCAATATAATGGCTTTTTGTTTTGAAAATGAATAGAATGGTGAAATATGAAATCACCCCACAGAACAAATGTATGTTGCCATGGTTACCACTTACAGTCTGTCATTATTAAAAGTGATGAATTTAATATAGCAAAATGAATCGTACATTCTGAACTTAATTTGGTGTGAATTCCATCATTGTCTCATCAAAATGATTCTTTTAATAATACAATTAGCATTACTTATGGAACACCCTGTATTGTTACGTCTAAACAAGCCATCAGATCTCATGATTTTTCAAAAACATGCACAAATTGCATCTGCTTCATTCATAGAAAGCGATACTACAATAAGCTATTATACACATACACATTCAGCGCTGGATGAATTTAACCTAGTACTTTTATTTTCCAACCAATTATACTTTCTTTTATATTATTAAATGAATGGTCCGAAAAATTGTCAAAGCTTTACCATATTTTTAATTTCATCATTCACTTTTGGCTTGAAAATCTAATGACAACCTATTGGAACAGAAAATGTGACATATTATTACAGTCAACATTTGTAACCTTGGTTTGGTGTTTAGCATTATAGCATTTGGTGCCTGTGACAATCGTTACACTTTTGTAAGCGCAACCAGGTGGTTGATATTTGCCATTATGTCTTTTTTCATATATATCTTTCACCTTTCTATGACATAACCACATGAATATACACTAAGTGCACTTTTGCAACTTTACACCTTTATTCCTCAATTACAATTTCATAATACCATCTGCACTCAGCAGTTAAAAACCTTCCTAGACTTAAACTTCTGTACTTGCCATGCACATTTGACTCTTTTCTCATTATTTTTTCCAAATGAGACTTATATTTCAACTGATTTATGTTTATAAAATACATTCCAAGTTTTCCCTGTTTTTCTTGGTTTTTCAAATGTGTTATTTGAAATTACATGACCAACTGAATAATAATTTTTATATAAGGAATATTAATACGAGAAGCCGCAAACATACACCTCATTGAGAATATAAAGGTGTAGTCGATTGTCATTCACCACCTGCTCACAATAAGTAAAAAAATAAGATACGAGACAAGCAAGAAGGCATTAATAGATACACCCTGAATTTCCAAAATGTGTACTTGTGGTGGTGACATATTGATTTAGTCTCCAACTTTTGTGGATGGTGTTCAGCATTTGGTGGTTCGGGGTTTGTGACCTTTCTATTGATATTAAATACAGATATATGCAATGCAATTGCATTGTATTGTATTACATTTCATTGTATTATATTGCATCATATTCTATTGCATTGTATTATATTGTATTGCATTGCATTGTATTGTATTATATTACATTAATGCTATTGGCACATCATTTGGGATATACCAGTCATGGACACAGGGGAGTACATATGAAATGGATAAATATGGGTATATAAATATAAGTATATCATCAGATATCTCACAGAAATACTTCATTGAAATGCAGCAGGTTTAGATATTATATGCTTTCTTCCTTTAATGATATCTGAACCCCAACATTTACAGGGTGCCCTGATCTTTAAAATATATTGGCCCTCATAATATCAGTGTCTCTTCTTTTTGTTGTTGTACAAGATTTTGGCAATACAGATGTAGCGTTCTCAATAGTTCTCAAATGCATATTTATCAATCTACCTATTTCCCAACCTACATACCCCAAATATTGCAGTTATATAGTGCCAAGGGTTCTTAGTAATAATATAATGTAACAAGTCCTTCAACTTGGATTATATTTGATCTAAAAGGGGAGTTAAATTGGTCCGCCACCCTAATTCATGATATATTTTAGTTTTAGTCGCCTTGCTGATATTGCAGTATCAATGAAATGTTAGCTAAGTTTTTTCAACGTGTCTTAATTGCCAGCTTTAGTTGAGCAATTTTTTAGATTGGGTGCCTTCATACCATCTCCTGGAGACCTTCCCATACCCTATATTCACTGGGGTTTGCATTAGGGCTATTAGCATGGCGGTCACCAGGGCGTATCAGTTCAGCAACATTTTGCAAATTATGCTTATTTCCCATGGCACACCACATGTTTCAGTGAGACGCTAGTGACATATTTCATTCAAGTAAAAGTGTATAATTCATGATCCATGGCTAGATAACAACCTCAGGTTTCATTTGTATGCAAATTATGATTTTGTATCAAAAATTAAAAAAGTTATAGCATTTTGAAAAAAAAGTGGCGTTTATTTGGCCCACCCTGTATATGACGATGATTTGATTTTGCGTAGGCATCACGATAATCATCATACTATGACAGGATAATTAATTCACCACCATTATATGTAATTGATTAGACTGTATCATCTTATAGTCTTATTTTGGATTAGAATACTAAAGTACGTCTGCTCGTGCTATTTGCGCTATTTTCTCTCTAAAATTTGAATGAAGAGTTTGATTTCTTTACAATTTGGAGTGTGTACTTCATACCTGTTTTTTCTTTTTCTTGGAAATTCCTCATTATTTTGGCTTATTTCATGTTTAAATATGATCGCGTCTGTATTTTGAGCTTAGGGATAAGAGGTCAAAGTGTGGTTAATGATTCTACTCGATGACACCATTCATCTCCTTTGATTGGTGCATAACTTCGTTCTTGCCAGTGAAAGAATGAGATATATACACATATGAATTCTGTTAAATAGTTTTACTTATAGTACCTGTATATAATTGAACAGTGTTGTGATAATTAATACACTCCTTGAAGTCGCTAACTCCTCCACAATTGACATTCATCATTACAACATGAAACATGAATTTGCACTTTTCAAGGCCCTCTCAAAATATGTTCTTATTTCTTTATTTCTGCCTCTAGGGATTATATCAGGATTGACGGAACCTTTCATCTAGGGATATTTCCAATAAAGTCATATGCTACCCTCTCTTATTTCTGGGTTTATATCATAGTTTATCTTTGTTAAACATGTGTTAGTGGAATATCTCTTTGTTTCATCGCATTAAGTCAGTGGATCTCGGAATTTCGAAAAGCGTTACATTTATGGAGGTGTTACACTTGAATGTGTTCACTGTACATACAGTTTGATTTTGTCTCCCATTGTCCTTCTGGATTGTAGAAACATAATGTTTCATTTGAGTTATGATTTTATATTTATGATTTCAGGGATCGCAAAGCTATAAAGCTTCGTATAGCTCTGAGAAGGGAGTTGAAGAAAAATGCAATCAAAGTGCTTCATGAATATTCATCACTTAATAATCAAGCAGAACGGAATGGTAAAATTGGCAGAAATGTAAGGAACGGACAAGTAAACCATGGGCTCGATATAACGGATGAAACAACGCAAGTTGTTGAAGTCACAGTGCACAAAGAGTACACAGCGCAAAACACACCACAAAAAGGACAACCAATGGAGGAAAGCACGGCAGATAAGAGTCCAAGGTCCTTGAAAGAATTAGCGAGGGAGATAAGTAAATCTGAAATCGTGATCCCAAATGGTAATGTGGTTCCTGATGATGAACATGGTGACCATATTCCAGTTATGAATGGTAACCATAATACTGTTCACCAAAATGGAAACCATGTGAATGGTAATGGGGTTGTTTGCCATGGAAATGGAACGGCAACAAAAGGAAACAGTATCCATAGCAATCCAAAACATAATATAAACAATACCCATACAGATTCTGAATCATGTAATGGTCTTCCTTCCAGTCCCCTTGCCTCCGACTCTACCTCTACATTTCCGCGTGTTAAGAATGGCATTGGACGTGGCCTCGGATACAGACACTCATACCAGGGTGCGGAGATTACTCGATTTCATGAGAAGCAGGTCATTAATAAATTTAAACAATTCCGGAAAGTTAAAAGTGACAATACTTTGATAAAAGCAAATGGAGTCAAGAAAGAACTTGGGAAAAGGCTTTCTGATAAAAATGCAAATTCTATTGAGGAGTCTGATCAAATACCGGAAGGGGCTTTTGATGATGTGACAATTCAGTGAGTGATGTCATAATTCAGTTAGTGATGTCATAATTCAGTAAGTGGTGTCACTATTCAGTGATTTTCATATTAATTGGATTCCACCAATAGAACCAGAAAACAAAGAATCAATTTTATGCAGAGAAACTTTTATTTAGAGCAGAGATCAAATCAATGTACATATCATCACAAATTGTAGAGATATTCAAATGTATATTGAGACCCCTTGAATTCACATTCAAACAATGATTAAGTATGTGTTAGTGGGCATCCTGAAAATTGCAGTCATTTAAAAATTGATTTTACATTGTTATATCGATGTTGAGTTAAAAGTTCATGGTGTCATAATCAGTTTAGAGCTAGTTTTTATTGAGCGGGATACCTAAGAAGTACTCAATATAATTACTAATAAATTAATTTAATATTTTCAGTTTGTAAACATTGTACAGCATAATGCAGCATGGTTTGATATATTGATGTTTGCCCAAAAACTGAAACTGGTCATCTCAAAAGGAAAGTACATTATCAGGACATCTCATATTTTTGATATCTGTGATTTATGAAATACCAGGTAGACGTTAGCCAAGTGGCCTAATTTACACAATACAAGGAATTAAAAAAGTTTTAATGAATTTACCCAATAATGGCCTTTCTAATGTACTATTGTGGCACAATTAGCAATACATTAAAATTTGGTACAGTAAAATCTGTTATCTGAACACCTCTCTCTGACCCCTGTCAAAATGAACCCCTTTTTCCAGTTTCCTTGCCCAGTTCCAGTGCATTTGGATAACGTAAGACATGTTTACTATAACATACAATTTTTGAATGAATCTCTGAATATCCTTATAAAGTATTGCACAATCAGATTGGGTAACATTTTTGGCCCACCCTGTAGTATGTTATGAGACCTCTTCTCGTAATCAGTCTCAGATGTGAATCATATTAAGTCTGTGCCATTTCTTTGTGTTTCTGGGCAAACATCAATGCATTGATGTGCTACCTTTATATTTTCTAGGCATGGGGCATTTTCAGTCAATTTTTCATGCAATTCTTTGTTTATACATTGTATATATAAAGTTCTACGAACTACTTTACTTATTTACATGTATATTTATTTGTTGACTATATAGAAGTATCCAGTGTATTTTTATACTGTATATACTTACAGGATATCAATTGTTTTTCGGGGATATAGTTTTTATCTATTTTGACAAATATGGTAAAACACTTCTATCAAACACTGTCGCTTTCCACTGGGTTTAGGGGTAGGAACAATCGAAATTGTGTGAATCAAGATGCCTATCAAAAGGAAGATGTACTTTCCACCTATAGTTCTTACAGTTACGGTACAGTTTTTTTTCAATTGAAAGTGTGTTAAATTCAGTATCCATCATGAGATAACTAGATATCCCATGAATATTATATTTCCACACAATCCTGATGTAATATTCAAAATATATTAACACAACAGTCAAGTTACCATAACGCATTATTCCTACCCCTGATATGGGCATTTGCATAATTGGCAGATTTTCTTCAATCAATCCCGGGCAATTTCATGGCAAATACTGAAATAAGATTACCCTGCACGCAGAGTCTAGTAATAAACTACCCTCTGCCTAGTATAGACTATATTATACTTTAGTAGCCCTGCCCCGAATATTTGTGCGTGTGACAGCCCAGGTAATAATTCCAAATCTACCATTTGACCAAAGCTGACCATTTCTCAACCAATAAGGAAAGTGGAAGAAACACGTGCTAAATACATGCTCATTAACTATGCGGGGATGTCAGAGGAAATGACCATATAAGAACTCGTCCTTACTTTGACGACAAACTCTGATTGGCTCGGTGAGATCAGAGATTTATTGTACTGAAAGAGTGAAGACGAAGCCTCTCTTTTAAGAAGTGAAGTTGAATGAATGCAAAGGGTAAAATAAGATATGAAGTAAGACTGAAGTATAATGAAATCATGTCAATTTTGATTTTTAATCAAGTAAAACATTCAAAAACATTCTTAATGTCATATTAACAATTATTATGTCACATTAGCATTCGATATGTCACACTAATATTCAAAATGTCACATTACAATTCATGATGTCACATTACTGAGTTATTATTGGGCATCGGGAGGTTTGAATTATACTACAATGTCTATAAAAGGGCATGAATAGTAAACTCCATTTAGACTGTAAATCCAGTTCGATTGTAAACTCCATTTAGACTGTAAATCCAGTTAGATTGTAAATCCATTTAGACTGTTAATCCAGTTAGACTCTCCACTACCATGGCAATGTGTGCTGAATAACAATTAATAGCCTGTATGTTTGAAAATATTCTTGTTAGTGCATAAATGTTATCAATTGATAACTTATTTATTTCTTATTTACTTTTCTAATATTTTATCCAGATGTATTGGGAATATAATTCCCTTGACATTTTCTTTGTGAAAATAATTTTCTTGTGGCCTTGAGTTAACAATTGTAGATTCTCGATCAATTCATTCTTAAGATACCTCATGCAAAACATTTTCTGCGAATGATACAGCATTCATTCCAAAATAGAGTGGAAAATTGAGAAATTATATGAAAAAATTAGGTCAGTTTGGAAACTGAATAGTTTTGTCTTAATAAATGAAACATATTGGTTTTGTTATTTTCTAACAAATAATACGATAAGTTTTGATCCAGGTAAGACATTTTTAGGTGGGAAATCACAGCATTCTAGGATTACTATTACAAGAGAAAATCCACATGCTTTGTGCAGTAATATTATTGCATGAAAATATATATCCATATATTTTTCTTTATTTTATAACTGTACTTTCTATTTGTATCTATATTTTATTTTTATTTTCCTTTTTTCCATACAAAAGCTAAATTGGTTTAATTTTCTAAGGGTCAACAGTGATAATTGTTCACCTGAACTGTAAATTGCCAAGAAAGCCTGAATTATTTCCAAATAAATCAGCCCAAATTTTGTGTTTTGAACAATAACATATTTTCTTTTTGGAAAATTGAAAATGAACAGTATTTCTACCCAAATAATTGTCGCACTTAGCCAGACAAGTATACAATAAACATGACATCATTCTTATAATTAATGATGATTTATGATAAATGTTTCTGACTGTCAAACAGCAATGCAATCAATATATCAGTCGTTTAGTGCAGTGTTTTAAAACTATGTAAAATTAGATTCACATTAATATATTTGACCATTTTCTTTCAGGTGGACATTTAAACAACCAGTAGATGAAAATCATTTTATTTAACAATGCAAAAGCCATTGGAATTATTTTTAAATAAAATCTAATATTTGTGGATCCTGATTTAAACCCTGTATCAATATACCATGTATTTATATTTTATGTCATGATAAGTTGCAAATAATTCCCCAGTCGTGATAGATTCAAATCTCATTGAAATCTTAACAACTTGTTCAATTTTGGGTAACAACCAAAGTGTATATTTTATTTAGTATATTTATGATATTGTATTTATTTGTATATTGCCGATATTTATGCAGAAATAAATATTTTCTTTAGTCTTAATCTTAATTATGATTTTTTCAGCTATTAATCTGGGGGTCGTTAACAGAAACTTCATAAAGTTACAAATTCGTAAAGCAGTTGTTACCATGGATACAATGATGCCACAGTAAGAGAACAAAGGATTTTATGAATTCTTAACTTTAAGAAGTTTCTGTTAATGCCCCTCTGAATCAAAGTGTTATTAAGCTGACGTTTTGGCAATATTCATCAATTAACCTTGGCATAGCCTTGACACCTTGACCTTTGCAAATGATAATTCCATATGCATTTATGGTGTAAAAATTTACTTGATAAGGAAATTCACACAAAATGAGTAGCAAGATTTCGTTTTCATTTTGCTATATTGCATTCATCACTTATGAACAATATTCCATTTATTGTTGCCATAGCAACCTGTATGTGCATTTTATGAAGCAGCACATTTCAATACTTTTTTTGTGTTAATTTGTAAACAGTAGATCCTATGTCAGTGGAACACCTTTGGAACCACAAAAAATTCTTCCATTTGGGAGGTTTTCTAGTAGATAAGCCATGGGACTTTAAAAACACTGTTCCACTTAAGAGGTGTTCCACTTAGTAGGTTTAACTGCTATGTGCTAAACGAAGCCATCTTGTTCTTTTGGAACCCTGTATTTTGCACTGAGATCAAGGTTTGTCCAGGTCCTATACTGCTAAACTTATGCCTTGGTCACATTTGCTCCGATTTTCACAACAGCGCCTGGGCAATTGAGTATTTTGTTCAAAATTGAATACAATATTGAAAAAAACACTCAATTGGCTGGGCGCCGCTCGATGGATCGGAGCAAATGTGACCCAGGCATAAAGGACACCAAATTCGTTACTAACTCTTGGGGACAGGCACTAACATAGGGAAGAGTTGCTTCAAGGCCAAAGTTTGAGGCTACCAATTCTGATTTGGCAGGTCAACATTAAGGCTGTCCATGAACACTAGTAACTATAGTAACCAAACACAAACAAGCAATATCAAAGTTGTGTTTTTTTATTTTAAAAACTCTCCGCAGATACAGATCTATGTACAATTCTTTATAATTACATGTATACACAAACAACTTCCCTTCATTTTAGTAAAGACTACCCCAGTATGTATACTTTTTTTACATAACATAAAAAGCAGTACATAATACTATGAAGTAAATGTACATTGTGTACATAATGTACATATATGTAATGTATAATGCTACACACCGTATTTAAAATTAATAGATCCAAATCATATAATAATATAGAATCATGCACTTGGATTCAATTAGTATTTTAATTTACATTTAGTTGTTTTTTTTGGGTGGGGGGCGATATTTTAGTTTTCTGTTAATGTTAAATAATGCCAATGGCCGTATTTAATTCAATGATAACTGTGAAGATAAAACACTGAAAATAATGAGAGGTAATCCAATAGCAAGGTCAACGAAAATATTAAGATGAATATCATCGCTTATACAATTCATCTACTTCAGAAAAGGCCTTTAAACAGAAACCTTGTCTTGTCTCCATAACGATTTATTTCAAGAATTGTTGACAGTTAAAATACAGCTAGTAAAGCTGAATTACATTCGTGATTTCGCACTCTTATACCATACATTGGAAATGTTACAGGGCACATAAAGCTGTTTTTAAATTGTTTGAGATGAACTTAAAGGCCCCGTGTAAAGTTTAAACCACTTTGGCTTAAATTGTAGTCTTACCCAATGTTATCAAAGAGTGATATGTGAAACTTTTTTTTTAATTTCAAAAAGTGGTTTTTGATAGACTTTTTGTTCCAAAATTTGTGAATTTATTTAAAACCAACTTTTAGAGGTCACTCATATCTTATAATTAGCCACAATTCATACCAATGCATAGCATTCATCCTCCCATGTTTTTTGCCGAAAAAATTAAGAAAATCGGTTGATAAACAAGCGAGAAATGAACTTATCAGTGCATGAAAATGGTTCTGAGAAAAATCCATTTCAAAATTTTAGTTCTCATAGAAACCAATGGTACAATGATATCTAAAACATAATTTATTCTTCCTTTTAACCTGGTTAGACAATCAACATTGGTTTTTTATGAAAGTCTAGCATATTTAGAAAAGATTGACATCGAAAAAAAAAATTCAATTTTTTTCAAAAAGTTTTTGTTACCTTAGTGACATCACTAATGTTTCAAAATATTTTTGATGAGCTAAAACATTGAAGTGGCCCATTAAATATGACATTTTATTATTGAAATAGTGTGTCTTATGTTCAATCTTTGCATGCATTAAGAAATATTTGATGATTAAGAAATTTCAACTTTTTTTGAAAAATGGCGGGAAATTTGAATATTTGAGAAATGATTTTTGTTAAAAAATCTCTAAAATCACTTTTTAAGTCCTGACAAATGGTAAATGAATGATAAAAAAATATTTTCAAACTTTAGACGGGGACTTTAATAAAGATAAAGAAGGTGAATTTTGTGCAGAATTCCTTTTTTCAATATTCATATTTTTCCATATAATGATGTTTTCAACAGCATAGAAAGACATTGGTGTCCCATATGCCTAATAAACTTTCAATCCTATTCTACACTATTTCACTCTGAAACTCATATTATTGTATCCTTTTTTGTATTTGACCGCATGGTTGTGTTATACTCATTGCTGATTCAATATTTTTCCAAAAGCCTTTAAATTGCAATTTATAACACTACCATCATCCCAATGAACCATGAACAGTACAGGTGTATTTTGGTTTCCTCGAAGAATTTGTCAATATCCTAATATCTAACATGATTAGGAGGGTGTAGCATTTTGAAAACGTGAGATTAAAACATTGTTCATTGCAAGATCTTCAATAGTATAGCCCTGAGGAGATGCTACCCCATAATCCTCTGTTCCATGTCACATGATGTTCAACTGGTAGTGTTGCATGCTGGTACCATTTTTCTGCCATCCCTGCTCCTGAAATGTACAATACATCACATTTAAAAAAATTTAAAGGTATTTCAACAGGCAGTTTCCATAAACTGAAGATCCCATGATACTGTGTTCTACTTTTACAATTTCAAATCAGAGTATCATAGGGGCTTACACTAGAGGTGTCAAGTATTAACCGGTTAACCGGTTAACCGCCGATAATGCCTTGACCGGTCTGAGTTTTTATGGGCGGTTAGTTGACCGTGTATAATTCTGTTATTTCCCGCGCTTATTTTGCATGCTAATCCGATTGGTTTTATGGTGTCAGTTTCACGTAAGCTACTCATACATGTCATAAGTCCCATAACTCCTTACAAACATCCAATCAGCAACTTTAATCCCTGCCACATTGCTTTCCCGCGCTTACTTTGCATTTTAATCTGTTTGTTTTTCAAGCGTCAGTTTCATGTGAGCTACTCATACATGTGATAGGTCCGATAATTCCTTACAAACATCCAATCAGCAACTTTAATCCCTGCCACATTCCTTTCCCGCGCTTACTTACATAGAATAACGTAAAGCTTGACGAACGTAAAAAATAAACGCCGATATATCATTTTCCAATTTTTTTCTACTTTCAAGATCGGAGATGAAGATTTCATTTGAAATTATCAATTCAAATTTCCCGCCGGTTAACCGACTTTAACCGGTAAAAAACCCCGGTTAACCGGTTAATGCTCAAGCGGTTAATTGACACCACTAGCTTACACACAGAATAATGACATATGCCTATAATGTCATATGCAATGATCTCTCCTAATGAACTCGCAATCTGATTGGCTGTCGCAACACTGCGACAGAAATCATGCATAAGCCATTGTGCATAATTAGATCACGTGATTCAGTTTAACCGGGCGCTTCCAAATTGGCTGTCGCAACAATGCGACAGAAATAATGTATAAGTCATTGTGCATAATTAGATCACGTGATTCAATTTAACCGGGCGGTTCCAAATTGGTTATAGAAGGAGGTACGGCTTCTGGATACCTGCTTAGGAGGATGGTCAAAAATACACTTTGCCAAGATTAAATACATGAACTAAACACACATAACACTCTAAATGGGCAAAAATGCTACAAAAGTTTAAAGTGAAATGAATTCAATTAAATAGAAGAATTTATTCAACTGTGACTACATTAATGCCAGGACTTGATTAAAAGTACCTCAACTAAGATTCCAAACCTTTGATGGTGAATTTTACCCCATGGTATGCATCATTATAAGTATATAGCACATACTAAATTATAAGACCCCTTAGGAACAATTGCATGTTTTGACATGCGTGGAGACAAAGGGTACATGTTCTCGCTTAGTTCTACACATTTTTACTTCAAAAACGGGAGATGGCATTCTTGTTTTTACACACTTTTACCTCAGGGAAAAATGTGATTGATAATATCAATATTTTTTATCTGTGGCAAGCATGGTCAAGTGAGATTGTCACGCTCTGGTTATTATTTTATGGGAAAATATATCAATACATTAACTTATGATCAAAAGCAAAAGTATAATTTACAATAGGGAAAGATGATGAATGGTCACATTTGTTTACTTTGTGTTAATTACTTTTCAATAATGATCAAGGTTCAGTAGCTTTTAAAATAGAAACAAATATCTGCTCCTAATAAAATTGTTGCCTATTTGTTTTATTTATGTATTTATTTATTTTTCCTTAAATGTATGAAAGGATCCCACAATCACACGGACATGTGGTTAACCCTAGAAGCCCTAAGGTAAAAATAGTCACACGAACACCTAAGGGGGGGTCAAAAGGGCACCCCCCTTGTAACTTTTTTATTAGTAGAGCTAGGATGTTCAAACTTTTTCCACATATACTTCATTCAATTATCTACAACTTGGTGAAAAAACTTTAACAACTACAATGATGAAAGATTGCGTAATTTTATTCTTAAGACAACACGTATGGTAGAATTAATGTTAGCCTTTTTCTAATTTTGTCTGTTGGAGCTGATGATCACATCATAATAGATTAATAACAAATTAGTAAAGCTAGGATGTTCAAACTTTCCCAAAATATACTTCATTCAATTATCTACAACTTGGTGTAATTACTTTAACAACTATAATGATGAAAGAATGTGTAATCTTATTCTAAAGATAGCATGTATGGTAGAAATAGTGCTAGTCCTTTCCGATTTTGTCTATTGCAGCTGATGATTACATCATAATAAATCAATTACCCTATGTACAATTTTGCTGATTTTTTCAGAAAACATTTTTTATATCTGTAGTTTCAGCTACTGAAAATTTGAAGACCCTATAGTCCATTTGTCATCCCTATACATCCAATAGTGAACCTAGAAATTGTTAAAAGTACGATGTTTTATGGTCGATTTATGATAATAAGGGTTTTCTGAAGTGATTTAACTGGGTTGCCCAAAAAGTTTGTTTGGGGAAAAAATGATATAGGCTGATTAGGGAGGGGTGCAATCGCTTAACATGGCGTTGACTATTGACTTAGCGTTTGGATACCACCATATACCTGGTATGTTACCATGGTAATAGATACAAAAATTTTCCCCAAAGTTATTTTTTGGGCAACCCAGCTAAATCACTCCAATAATCCCTAATGATAGTATTTACACAGAAAAACATCATACTTTTAAATATTTATACGTTCAGAAAATGACAAATGGACTACTACCATATGGCAATAAAAAGTTATGGGGAAAAAACTTAACAGGGGGGGTCATTTTGACCCCCCCCCCTTAGGGCTTCTAGGGTTAAATCATATAATCTATCAAATTGTTAGCCCTATATTCAGATATGTATCTGATCGTAACACTATACATCTGAAACCCTACTTTGCATGTACACTCCCCTCAAAAAGTTTGGCAACTTTATCTCAAACATTGGACTACATGTTAACACCTCTCAGGGTTGTTGATTTTTTGTTTTTGGAGGGGAGTGTATTCACCAATATGATGACACAAAAAATTAATTTTGATGAAGATAGTTTGGTATTTTTGCAAAAGGACATATTTGAAAAGAGAGAAATTGAAATAATGATCAGTACAAGAGTAATTTTGATGAATGTTTATCTCCTGTCAGTTGTAACAATAGGAAAATATCAGTCACGGCTGCCAGTGAGAAAAATGTCATAATTCTCATGTTTTGAAATGTAAAATAGAGTGGAAAAGAGTGGAATCAGCAAGGAATTGAGTAAATAGCCAAGTAGTGTACACTCTAAATTGTATAGAAATGACAGAAAATTAAGAAGTTCATTGAAATATTATGGAGAAATGGAGTGGAAAAGGCATGATCAATGAGAAATTTTAGCAGACGTCTGTGAAACATGGGTGTAACCAGGTTTCTATGGTAACTCTGTATACACCTGCCTGCTCTCAAAATTCACTCTGAATATGCATTTTTAACATTTTGTCAATAAACTTTGAATGAAATGTCTGAAATTTATACATTTTCATACAATATACAGTCCTTGCTTATTGGTTGTGAATTTTGTTCCTCCTTAATATCTCTCTATTTCATGCGATATCATAATTAAAATCATAAAGGTGCTGATTTTTCAAACTGGAATTGCTCTGAATCAACCCTGCTTATTGTGGTTTTCACTATACATTAATCATTCTAGATATAAAGTTCACCATGGTAATTTGAAATCATCACCATCTAAATCACAAAATTTTGAAGCTCTGAAAATTGTGGCATTGAAATGATATGAGGGGCATTATTCATGTATGCATGTCACACACACTACAATATTTGGATATACTCAGAGAGATATGCAGATTACTCAATTACTGCAAAATTAGTACAAAATTAGCACTCTGGCAAAAGCACGCTCATGAGCACTGATGTCACGTGTGCTAATTTAGTACTAATTTTGTACTGATATTTACTGAAATGAATACTCAATTAGCGTTAAAATGCTATGAGTACTATATATACTATATCTCCCTGTGTATTTTTGTGACAGTCCTGCAAGGTGGACCTTAAAGCTGGACTACACTCCGAAACGCAATCTTGGGTTGTTTCGGGGGTGAACTTTATCATTTTGAGCTTAATGAAAGATTATAGAATGATGAACAAATGGGGCAAATCTTGTGTAGAAATACTTACGATAAATGTGTCATTTCAAAGATTTTTCATTGAATTTGCTTCGATCGGTGCCGGCGATATGACTTTGGAAAGGTTTCTAAATGAAGAATGTGACGTCACTTCCGAATCATAGCATTCAAAATAAGTAGCGTTTAATTACTTCCTCCTTCATAAAAATACGGTAGTGTAGCGGGTAGAATCCTCGCTGAGCACGCGGGAGGCCCGGGTTCGAATCCCGCACTAGCCTTTTTATTTTTTTAACTAAATGATAGTTCTTTGATATTACGCAGAAAAAAACAATTTTTATTTACATAAACTTTATATTAGAGCTTGAAAATGTAAAAACAATATATGTCAACATATTGCGTTTTGGAGCGATGTGCAGGTTTAAATAATCCAAACACTTTCAATGTCTTATATTCAGATTTTAGAAACTTTAACATTCATTTTTTACAACTTATCTGTTTATCTTTCCTTCAACAATTATTACTAATGTACTTTTGTAAATTGGAGAATCAAATAAAAAATATGGAAAAACATTATTTTGAGTATGACACTTCATGTTAGAAAATTGACGCAAATTACGCCCATTAATGACAATAACATGATTACTCAGATGGCTTGTAGATTTGCATGGCGTGATATCCAAACAATAAGCCCCGAAGGACTTCTGGGCGGACAAGATAATAGCCACTAATGATTATAATAATGACAATCTGCAAATTATTACAGCCAGTATAATATTTACTGTACCTAATAGTGAATCACACCCAAGTCAATATTTTCAAAACTGATTTTCTCTCAATAATATCTCATCAACCTCAAAACATGTACAAGGTGTCAACTAAATATGTAGCTCCCTTAATTTCAAGAGAATGAACTTTTGTGCATAAAAGTGCATCTAGTTGAGCTAGATGCCAAAAACTTCTTGTGGAGTTGCTTTGTGAAGCCTAGTTTTGATGTGCTAAAGTGCAATTCAGATATCATGTAGAGAATAAAAGTTATCCAACATTATGTGGGTGTTAAAGCTAAGGAGGAGAACATATTTATTTGACACCCTGTACATGTATAGAAAGAGTAATTTCATAATTTCTTATATGTGCTGCAACTTTAATTAGATTAATTTTACAATATGAACATGGGTGGAGTATGGTAGGAGTAGGTGAGGCAACTACGAGGGAGGAAACTACAGGTGAGGCAACTAAAGGTGAGGTAACTACAGGTGAGGCAACTACAGGCGAGGCAACTTCAGGTGAGGGAACTACAGGTGAGGCAACTACCAGTGAGGCAACTACAGGTGAGGGAACTACAGGTGAGGCAACTACAGGCGAGGCAAATACAGGCGAGGCAACTTCAGGTGAGGGAACTACAAGTGAGGCAACTACCAGTGAGGCAACTACAGGTGAGGGAACTACAGGTGAGGTAACTACAGGCGAGGCAACTACAGGCGAGGCAACTTCAGGTGAGGGAACTACAGGTGAGGCAACTACAGGCGAGGCAAATACAGGTGAGGCAACTACAGGTGAGGGAACTACCAGTGAGGCAACTTAAGGTGAGGGAACTACAGGTGAGGCAACTACAGGCGAGGCAAATACAGGTGAGGCAACTTCAGGTGAAGGAACTACAGGCGAGGCAACTTCAGGTGAGGGAACTACAGGTGAGGTAACTACAGGTGAGGCAACTACAGAAGAGGCAAATACAGGTGAGGCAACTACAGGTGAGGGAACTACAGGCGAGGCAACTTCAGGTGAGGGAACTACAGGTGAGGCAACTACAGGCAAGGCAAATACAGGTGAGGCAACTACAGGTGAGGCAACTACAGGCGAGGCAACTTCAGGTGAGGGAACTACAGGTGAGGCAACTACAGGTGAGGGAACTACAGGTGAGGCAACTTCAGGTGAGGGAACTACAGGTGAGGTAACTACAGGCAAGGCAACTACAGGCGAGGCAACTGCCTTTCCAAAAAATACATTTCCTCAGATGTTTTTCAAATAAAACTACATATAAAGAAATGAAATCCAATGCAGAAATAAACCTTATCGATCCTTATCAAAATTTTTCAGCTAATGTTTTTATCCTCACACTCTTGATGAAATGATAGCCAGAATTATACATGTAAAATATAAAAGTGTCTTGCATATATTTTTATATCCAAAACTCGATTGACTCGATTTCTTTTAATTAATTTAATTAACGGGAATTTTTTGATGATTACTTATCGGCTGTTAACATCCTTAGGTTAAAATCTGAATTATTATTCAATTTACTATTCAAAGCACTTGTTTTTTAAATTCATGAAGTGTCTGAATTTTAAATCCATACTTCATACTAATTGAGTTCTTCGGAATTATCTAAATTCCACTTGTGATACCATGACAACCATGTCATGTTTCACATGGTAACCATGGCATTTTTATTGAAGAGGTTAAAAAACTATGTGATATTATTGCAATGTATTTTAATCTCATAGACCTCAATTTCAGCCATGATGGTTTCAAAATTTCCGTAAATAATTTGCACTAAAATGTTACATCAGAACACAAACTTGAATGTTCATGATCAGTGATGCCATCTTTCCTATGATGTTACTAATAATTTAATAAGAGAATATTTATATTATGGATTTTCATTTAAAGGAACATTCCTGGCCAAACCTTTTCTATCCTGATGTGATAGCTATAATCATATATATACTTTCCATATTTAGCAAAACATGGGGAAATGTTTTAATATAGTCAATATTGATAATTTAAGAATGTAGTGCTCATTTCCAGTAAGCTGCCATCTTTTAAGATTTTACTCAGGAAGTGATGTCATCGACTCTCAACTTTCATGACCTTGCATATAACAGTATAGGAAAATATCACAATATCACTTCTAGATGAGTGATCCTTACTTTATGCGCAAAACTATGTTCAGAGCTTGTCAGCTTAGAATAAAAGAAGAGACTTTTAGAAGGATTAAATCATAGACAAAATTGAAAAAGAATATTCAGCTGCTTTTGTAATTCTTAATAGCTCCTTATAGTGTTATATGCAAAGTTGAGAGTCGATGACATCACTTCCTGAGTGAAATATTAAAAGATGGCAGCCAACTGGAATTCGGCACTACATTTTCAAGTGATCAATATTGACCATATCAAAACATTTTTCCCTGTTTTGCTAAATATGGAAAGTATATATATGGTTATAGCTACCATATTAGGGGAGGCATCAAAAGATCAATGTCTGATAGAAAACTAAATAAATCTAGTTTGGGGGGGAGGGGGTCAAAGCTATTTCAGTTTGCTATCCGACAAATTTCAACATTTAAATTTTTCGCAATTTCGACTCGAAATGCCTTGGAATGGTTTAAAAATAAAGACTTTACCAGATGCCTTCTTCACCAAGATGCATGCAACATGGAATATTATGCCTATTGTTGTTGGCACATGTTTTAAGAATCATAAATAAGTTATAGTACTGGCCCCATGAAAGTCCAAATTGAGTCGCTAAAACATGTGAAAAGTCCGCGATCAACTTTCACTGTATTTAGTTTTGAGGGGGAGGGGGGGGGGTCCAACTCAAAACTAGATTTATTTAGTTTCCTATCAGACATTGAACTTTTGATGCCTCCCCTTAGGAGAGAAATGGTCTGGCCAGGAATATTCCTTTAAACCAAACATTAACTGAGCTCCATAAATTTAGCCATTTAATGTTGAAAATCTCCCTTTGAAATTTGAGGGAAATTTTTAAAATCGAAAAATTTTATGTGTATCAATCTCAATGTGATGGAAATAATGTTAGTAATTATCAATCAATAAATTTTCTCTTTTTTGTCATCATAAAAGTTGACATAATGTATTTTTCTTGTTTAAAATTGATGAAAAGGCTGGTGAAATAGTTGCTGGGAATGGATCGGGGTGGCAGACGTCATGCAGGAACAACATTTATCTCAGTACCCACTGCCCACCTTTTAGACTATAAGACTACTGTATCCTTTTGAATTTCCATAAGTTTAGAACATCCAAGGCTAAAAAGAAAATGTTGACATTTTACCTAATTGTTGCTACTCACCTATAAGACTACCTTTCTGGGATCATGCATAGTAGTTTGGAGAAACGAGTAAATCGGTAAGCACGACTAGCTGATCATCAGTGAATTTCTGCTTATGGTCCTGCCAGTTATCGTGATGAGTACGCCTAAAATCTGACAAAGTCTTTTTCACTGTCATCTGAAAATATATAAAGACAGCACTAAATTACTTATTTTTCTTACTAGTGGTACTTTATTGTTACTTGACATTATACTTTTATATGCCATTTAATGTCAGTATTAGTCATGACATTATTGTAAATAAACCTTTTCCGGATAAAACAAAAAAAGAAAAAAGTGGGCATATTGGGGATAAGTTTCCAAGAAACTGTCTCAAATTGACAATAAAGCTTTCATTATTCCACGTAATAACTATTTTCTAAAAAGCCCAATACTTGCTTCAGCTTTATCTTGGTTAAACCTTTTAGTTTTTAGTGCTTATCTGTCAGATTAATTATGTTAAATTAGGACTGTGCTTTTTGAAAATATTTTTCTGACACTTAACACTCTCTGTCAAGTCTACTTCCTTCATCATCACACTATTAATTTATTATAATGAAAGCAACAAAAGTACTTTGCAGTACTGTAAATACACAACAACAAATGAAAAGTTTATCAGTGAAGGCTTTTTCCATAAGAAATCTATTTCAGATCTACGTTTACAGAAACACTTTTCACGAAAATATCAATGCTGCATCGATTGTGTTTCAATTGTGTTTTATTGGAAATGATTTCTAAATTTCTAAATAGGAGACATCTATTTATAATTTTCATAATTTTCTAGAATTTCCTTACAATGGATCTTTCCAAAAAATCATGAAAAAGGAGATTCAGACAAAAAAGCATGTTTTGAATTTTATTTAGTTCATAAGTAATTAAGTTTATTTTTGGTTATATTTTAATTAAGCCTCTCATGGTTCGCTCTTTAATCGAGAAGGTACGAAAATATGTACTTAAAAAGCCCTCAAAAAGGACAAAAGGTGTGAAAATCCCCATGTTAAACCTATGGGGGAAAACAAGGAAGTATGAATTTGTTCCTCAGCAAACTGCATCATGGGAAATATATTGACCTTATAAGGAAAATCTTTCACATCTCCTCTTTTGAAGAGGGAACAACGAATACAACAATTAGACTAACCTGAATTGGTTGTGGGTCATCTAGGTGGTTACTAAGGTCCATTAAAACTTGTGGCATAAATTCTGGAACATCGTAAGGATACGCCTGAACAAGTGCACTCAGGCCGAGTATCCCAGCATGCCTCTTGATAAGGGATTCTATCGAGATGGGAACTTGTTGCTGACGTTTCTGTTTCTTCACCTTTGTGCTGCTTAGCTTCTCAAAGTGTGTCTAAAAATTATAAATTAATAGAGGCATTAAGGTAGGTGCAGTATAGTGAGTAATCTGCTTAATAATCCTGAGGACTAAAAATAGATGGCATTATACTCAGTGGATACAATAAAATCTTACACGGCAGGAAACACCATGCAATCCACTTGTGATGTGCCATCTATATTTGTCACCAAGTGTGAAGTTTCTACAAGTTAGCTTTATATTTTGATGATACATCCCAAATATGTCCCATCTTTTATTTTACCAATTCAATGTTAGATCTTTATCAACTAAACTAAATATTTTAGCTTCATATCCTCATATGACAATACAAAAATTCAATATCTTTTTAATGTTCATTAACACAATTCATTATGTCACTCCTTTTAAGGACTAACAAACCTACCAGCATTTGTTTATCAATCTTCAGGTATCCACAGTGTAAAAATCCACCAAGAGTCACTGCTGCAGCTTCCCTGACCTCCAACTGATCATCCACCAATAGATGGAGCACAACGTCCTTGATCTGGTCAAGGTGTTCTGTTTGGAGAACAGTAAATAGATTGTAGAAGACAAATGCCTGGATGAACGTCAATACAGCAGTTCTTGCACGCCAGATTCCAAGTCCAGATATCTGAAATATGAACAGATACTGTTCAATTTTGACATATTTGACAAGATTTTAAGTGAATAATATGACTCTAAGAATTTATGCCATGAACCATCATAGATCATTTTAACTTATACTGTGAAAGCATAGAATACACAAAGTGTAACAATTTCAATCAATCTTCCAATTTGCGATAGAAAATCAAGATGAACAAAAGTAAACTATAATCACAACACATGCTCTTTCTTGCTCCCTTTTATTGTGATTTAGAATTTATTTTCTTGACATAAAGTACCTCTTTAATGACATGTAGTACATGTTGAACATTCTCTGTTCTCTGGAGTGTATGGGCCATTAGATGTAGGGCAGTTTGGCACTCAGCTTTAAGCTCATCATCTGTAGTGTCTTGGACATAGATACAGATCAATGGCAAGAACTTCAACATATCTGGTGGTAAGGTGTACAGCATGCGCCCCATACTACCACTGATCCATTTAAGGGCTGAAATCAGATAAATACGACATTAATATAATAGATAAAAACTTCAACATATCTGGTAGTAAGGCGTACAGCATCAATATTACATAACATTAATGTGTTTTTGCAAAATATGTTGTTAATCCAAACTACAGGTATTAAATTCAAATAAAGTCAGAAAATATATTACTCTATTTATTGCTCTTATCGATGTCACTAAGCGCCAAATTAAAGCATAAATCAAATACAAAACAAACATGTAAAATTCAACTGAACAAACAAAGATACAAAACTTTTTTAATACAGATCACTTGGTCTTAACACTTCTGTGTGAGAATAAATCGCTCCAATAATAATATACATCGGAGGAGATTTTACATTTCACTAAGGAAATTAGGAAAGGTAATTAGGAAAACAATAATAACTTTTGTAACATTTAGTACGCTGCTCCAATTGGATTCGTTCAACAAATTCCGTAAGTAGAAATACAAAATTAACTTTTAAGAAACTACTTCAAATTCACTGGTAAAAATAACTAAGAGAAACTTATCCATTTCAGGGCTGAAATCAACTTATCAAGTGAAGGTATTGGCCATTACCTTTGCATCAAACATGGCGAACAGTAATTGTCGATTTCGATATTTTTAGATTTCATTGAATTAAACTACTTTATAGTTAACGTTATGCTTTGATATTTTAACCAAACCAAGGTCATATTTATGCTAATATAGGTTGAATTTATTGCCATGTTTATACACCTTAAGGTCACACAAATACTTGGGCATTCTCCAGTAGTACTTGTCACTTCCATAATACATTTCTTGCAAATGAAAAATCAATTCAATTGATCTAAGGAGCCCTCTCTCAGGAGCCTCTTTCTACTCCAACAACAAGAAGGATGCTTTAACTGTGAGAGTGCTTCATCTCATGCAATCTTACATTTCCTTTACATTTTCTTACAGTTGAAAAGACAAGATTTTAAGAGAAAAATCCAATGTGGCCACCTTAACATTTAGCAGGACTTAGCCTAAAGACTAAGTAGTTTGAGATTTTCACACAAAAAACCATTCCTGGAAATTTAAATCGATCTGTCAACTGCTTTGCCAGGAAAAGTGTAGACAATACTTTACAGAGAGGATTCCAAGATGGAAAATCCAAAATGACCACCTTAAAATTTACCCAGAATGCAGAAAAACTAATAAGTTCCAAGATTTTCATACTACCCTGAAAATTTAAAAAGAAAGTTTAGCTCTCTGGAGTCGAACAAGTTTATTTTGGTCAGTCAAAACCTGCTTGTGAAATCCTTGAAACATTTGAACTCTTAATCATTTTTATTTATTCAATATACTGATGTATTTGTATTAAGCCTATTTGCTATTCTTCTTTGACCAAACGGTGGTGAGTTGACAGTAGATTTGGATATTTTATCTTTCACTTTCACTTGGTGCATTGCCCTACCCCTCTTTTTATCTTTTCTGTGATATGTATATCTTCTAATCTATAACGACACTCTATGAACCGTTGAAATGGCACAAAATCCTCCAATTTCTTTCTGCAAGACTTCTTTTGTTCAAATAATGTTATAATTTTTTCCATTTCCCTATTTGATAAGCTTGGCATCTTGTCTCATTGAAATGACCTTTACAACTGACTGATTTCATACACTTGTTGTGCTTGGCTTTGAGAGGATTTGTGGATTGGTACTAATAGGTATCAGAGTCGGTAATTAGCATGATTTGGCTAACAAACTGAACAGAAGAACATTAATTGGGTTTCTTAATTGAGCTTCATTCTCAGACTCCGACTCAATATACGCCCCTCAGCACCTGGGTTATATTCTATATTCACTGATAAGTCTTTACAATATCTCAAGTTTTATGGTTTTATTACCTTTAGCTGAATAGGAGCCTTATCAGTGAAGATAGATCAAAGGGAGCAAATATGCTGTTTCATAACCTTAACTTATAAAATATGATGTAAAAATACATGTTGTTCTTTTATGACACAACAATACTCCCCACTTCGCTATGGTGAGCTCCTGCGAGCCTCAATGGAAGGGGAACTATTGGTATGGTTTTCTCTAAGGATATGAGGTGCTTTGGACACGCATTAATTTATTCTTAATGTAATATATTTTTTACAAAGTCACAGAAATTTAGTGCCGTGTTAATATTCTTCTAAAAAATCTAAAATAATGAAATACTTAGTCTCAAACGAATTAAAAAAATGTAGATTTAACGTATCATAGATGTTTTGCTTTTTGAAATTAAACTCAACTAACAGAACCCTTGTGCCATATAGTGTTTTAAAGTCCTTAGTGTTCATGTGCCTTGTATTGGTCACAGAATATCTGCTTTGTTGTTGTTGCTGTTGTTGGTATCTTCTTTTGGCACTAGTAAACAGTATTAGTATGCAGTTGACACGTACAAAACTTAGGAAATGTAAGAGTACATACCAGCTGTTTTCCTTTCTATGAACTGAGAGTGAAAAAATATATAATCTTATAAATGGGGAAAAATTATAAGCTCTGTCACACTTTTGTTCTTACTGCATAACCATAACGTTTTTATAATGGTGAATACTTTAACTTCTCAACATGACCTAGATATATTTACATGTAGCTTGCACTTTTCCTATTTTCCTGTATGCCTAGATCTATATAGCGATTGGGCCATAAGGTAAATATTAATTTCCACTTAGGTATTATATTGTGGAGTGCAGCCTATTATTTTTTATTGTTATGTGTTCCTATTGTTGAGAGTAAAAGATACGATTTAAAATCTTATAAATAAATGCTGCAGTATTTATGACACGTGCTGAGAAGCTTATTCCTCTACAAAAAATGACTTGTTTCGTTTATTTTACAAAATGTTTTACAGCTAGTAGGTAACTCTTAGGTATTTCTTTGTTTTAATTTGTTTACTTAAATGTCCGACGGGTTTCTGTTAGCATTTTTTTCATTTCTTTTACAAAAAATATTACAATCATGAATTCTCAAGTTGATTTCTATTGGCACTTTACAATGTGTTATATACCTTAACTATATTACCAATATATTTATATGACTACTCTAGTGGTTATAAATAGACCCCACTTAACAACTTTACAATCCACCAATTAAATTTATTATTTACACCTCTTCAGGTTTTAAGTTTAAGTCAGTAATCTTTCTTATCAATTAAATTTGAAATATGCGCATATTTTCTAAACTATCTGTGAGGCAATATGTGCTTTCACAGTACTAAAAAACACAAAAATTGTTTGTTATAATTAGATATTAGGGTAGAAATAACTTACTTTATAACTCTACAATTTCAGGCCATATAACCTTGCAAGATTTACAATGGTAACATTTACTTGTTTCACTTAAAGGCGGAAACTTGTAGACTCTAAGCACCAGTCCACTTCTACCCACAAAAATATGTGTTGGGACTCATGTCCTTAAACAGTTAATTCAGTTTTCATATAATACAATTGGTCATATATATAATTACACGAAAAAATATGTAACAAATAGTCCTCTAATACACATCATATACATTTTAACAAATACTTTCTCATACACCACTTGCATACGCACTATACCTATCCACTCATATTTCCATCCTACATTCCATATTCTACATTCAACATTCTACAACATTTTACATTCTCCCCCACTTTCTTAAAGTGAAATTAAAGATTTCACTAGGAGAAAGGGTGGAAAGAGTACTTAAGTAATTAAAGTGTGTGTGCAGATAGATTGGAGCCTTCATGGCCAATGTCATCATCTATAGGTTCATCATCTACAGGGATGTCATTATCATTCTAATGTTTACAGTACTTAACTAAAAATTTCTTAACTACTGAAAATAAAGATTTAGATAGAATTAAAGATATATCCTAAAAGGATAATTCAAAAAAACATAAGACCAGTCTGATTTACGGGCCTGATGCATGCCGGTCGAAGCGTGAAAAAAGTATTTTTTCCCCTAATAATTGCAATGAAATGAATGAATTTTCAAATGAAATCGCTTTAATTGGGAAGTCAATATAATCCGCCATATGAGCAAGACCGTAATCAACACGCATAAAATGAGTACAGGGGAAAAATCACAGAATATGCCCATTGTTGCATATATTTGGTCAAAATCGGTCCTGTATTTGAAACGAAATGCAAAAAAAGATTAAAACGTTGCATCTCCAATAGGATACTAATTTCTTGCCCCTCTTCAAAATCAAATTTATTTTAATGTTAGTAGCGAATAAGTACTCACAAGCGTGAATTGTATTCAATTACCATTTTATTTAGGCCAATACAGTCATAAATATAACAATGGAGAATTTGAACAGTTAAGTGTTTGAGTTTAATCTTGAATTGGCCTTTATTGATCATTCTACAAACTTTATATGTCTCTTCAGGGTAATGGTGAGATAAAATGCGAAGTAGTGAATGATGGTGTAACCAAATGGACTTCAAATATATACACAATCAGTGGATAAGACGTTTATGGTTTCACAATAGGAAGGACGTCTCTTCACTATGATCAGCACATAAACCGTTTTATGATCCCCCAATTACTGATATAATACTGAAGCCAATTGGTAACACATCTCATTCCCTGACTTTTTCAATTTTGGGCTTTATCTATTTAACAGAAATTAGAAGCTACTTTTGTTGTCAAAAAATAACCTCAATTGTCGGTATTGTACTAAATATCATACATGTATATTATCTGAAAACAATTTTAACTTTGGAAAAAAAGATAACACTCTCCTACTTACTTAATATAACTCAATTTTTAATTTGATTTCATATTAATTTTAGCTTATTTTGTAGCTTGACACCGTCTCTCCCCTGCCTTCTGCAAGTTGTATGTAGTGTAGTATGGTGCATCTAATAATTGAAATTGTTTGTACTATGGACAGTATGAACCAATTACTTTACAATCTAAGTAATTACCATAAACCGTTTGCTGTGGGTATTGAAGTTTTCATTCATAAAAATATCATACAATATAAATCTTTCTCGCATTCTTTGTAATATCAACATTTTGCCTCAATACATATCCATTTCATCTTAAAAGGGAATGTAGAATTAATAACGGGTTACTGTTTATGGCGTCTACTCCCCCATAAACACCCGGTCCATGCAACCATTAGGAGTTTTAACTAAATTTTAAGTGGTAAGTTGTACAGTTTGTAATTGGACTTTTACACGTAACCTACTTTACCCCCCTTTTGGTCGCCGCTACTTGGGTCTATCTCTTTTTACAGAAAAATTGAACTAGACGGGCCCTTCTAAGTTCAAATTACCAAGTAGGTCATCATTGTGACTAGGTAGCTTATACCATAGTCTAAGTACGTACTTCTAGAAAAATCCTCATAATATGTCCATGTCCCTTATCTATTTACCAAAATATCCTTCAAATTTACGCCTTTAGGGTAACGTACTAACCTAATAGTTCTCAAAATTGATAAGTAGTCCAGTACAGATCTTAGTGAAATGACAGGGCTCAATACATTAAACAAGACAGACATAACCTCCCCAATCAACCACGGTCTGCTGTAAACAGTATAAGGTCTTTGTTTGTTTATCAATATTTACTTTTAACAGATTTAAATTATCGATTATGTCAAGACACCACAGGGTAGCTGTTCATATGGACTTCAAAATTGAATGGAGTAGGTTATACCCTAATTCGGCTCTAGTATGTTGATACTACAAAAAATGGTCTCAATATCGCCTCAAGATAATCTTAAAATAATCCAACATAATCTCAATATAATCTCAATTTCCCTTACTAATGTGTGCGTCCTACCCACAACACTTTCTACCACTAATTTTTCCTATAATTTCTCATATCTCATTTTCTAATTTGTCAAGCAAATACCAGGTTTGAAATGGTAATCTATAACTATAATTTCAAGCTATACAAAAGAGCAAGTATTGCAAGGGTATTCATCAAGCGCAGAGATGGTATAAAATTACTACCATGACCCTCATATTTCATTATCTAGTACCTAAGCAGATCGTTCTCAGGTAATAAAATTATGACAAAACATAATGACCAATGCCACTGAACAAAAAAACATACACTTGTTTCAATCAAAGACGGAAATGATAGAGAACCTTTATATTCTAACCTAGCTGTTTTCATCAAGCAAAAATATAATTCATGTCCTGTCCATTGTATACATTGCTTATCTGTAATTTTCATTATCTAAAATATACAGAATATAAAGATTAATACATATAATTGGCCATGGAAACATTGCATTATTTTTCATTATTGTTATCTGCTTTGGTTCCAGGGCCGTCAATAATAATATAATAGTGTTGCATATCGACACACTACAGTTTTCAGTTTACCTTATTTTTTTATTTTGTTTTTTTTATATTTGCATGTTTTCCTCGCTGAGTAGGGGCTGCCATATATCTTCTTTATTTACTTCATTTCAACATTTTATACTTAACATTTCTTTCTTTGTATTTTTGTTACCCTCATTTACATACTTTTACTTTGATGCAGTCTTATTAACTCATTTTCTAATAACTTTGAAACTTCTTCTTTGATTATATCTCCACATTTGGAATCAGTCCGATATGGTACGGACCTAAATGGTCTAGAGCCTGGTTTTAACAGATCAATGGTATGTTCAACACCGCTAACAAGTTTTGGGAGCAGGTGCAAAAATATCTTCACATTCAACTAGTTAGGTTTTCAATTTCAAAACTTGTTCAAATTCTAAGGTATTCGACAGTTTTTAATAATTTTGAGAAAATTCTGAATTTCTGGGAGAGGCCAAAATACATTTTTCGCCAGGCTCTCGATCATATTTTTTGATTTACTGTCCTCCGAGACATAATGGTCCCGGGAGGTTGGAGTTTAAAGGATCTTTCTTCCTTTTGTTGCAATAATACCTAATATGACCTTTTTCATTGCAAGAAAAACAAGTTCTATCTGCATGGGCTTGACGGATGCGGCATCTTTGACGATCGTGGCTTGGTATCCCACAATATTCACATTTTTGTGTTTTCCTATTAACAAAAGGTGACTTACCCCGTTTTGTCTGTGTTACGCCTACTGCCTCCTTTTGTACAATAATAATGGTGCGGCGGTCTCCATTTGCTGTTATTGTCACCTCCAGTCCTTGTTCTTTTACGTTAGCAGTATCGCCACTCCTTGTAGTCGTCATTCTAAATTTCCTCCTTTTCTATCTTCCTATCCAGTCGTCAACCAATTTGTCTGCAAAAACTTTCCCTGATCCTATCCGGCTGCTTTCCACCAATTGTTGTGCTTGGCTTTGAGAGGATTTGTGGATTGGTACTAATAGGTATCAGAGTCGGTAATTAGCATGATTTGGCTAACAAACTGAACAGAAGAACATTAATTGTGTTTCTTAATTGAGCTTCATTCTCAGACTCCGACTCAATATACACCCCTCAGCACCTGGGTTATATTCTATATTCACTGATAAGTCTTTACAATATCTCAAGTTTTATGGTTTTATTACCTTTAGCTGAATAGGAGCCTTATCAGTGAAGATAGATCAAAGGGAGCAAATATGCTGTTTCATAACCTTAACTTATAAAATATGATGTAAAAATACAAGTTGTTCTTTTATGACACAACACACTTAGATTGTTGATTTGTTCATTCTAAAAGTAGAGTTGGTATCTATGTAGGTGTGCTATTTTTAGCATATTTATTCGGCACCGTTTATTCAAGCATGCTCATTTTCCCAGACACACCAGAATAGCCTGACAACGGTTAAGTCAGATACTGTTGTCACAAATGGCGGACATAACCGTCTCTCCAAATAGATTTTCATGAACTGTATGTTTAACAATCAATCAAAGTGTCTTTATACTCATTGACCAGTTAATAATGTTCTACAATCGAAGTAAAGTCTTTAATTTAACCAATCAAAATGAGATACGGGACAACGGACACTGCATTGTGGTGATTCACGACCCAATTTGATCAAAATTAGAAGATGATAAAGTCCCATGAAATGAGGACCAAGTGATTGAAAAGTTGAAGCGATTTACCGTTGTCAGGCTATTCCGATGTGAGAGTGATTACAAATTGATTGTTCTTCAAATCTAAGCTGGTTTGAACAGTTATAAATAACAAATTGAGAGCATATCAAAAAGTGTCCCATCTATAGTGGGCAACCCTGTATTCATGTTTATTTGGCTTAAAACAAACATTTCATAATTGAACAACTTACAAATTAGAGACAATGTGATGCCAATATTTGTTTTACAGATGAAAACAGTAAAACTCTAGATAAGATTAATGGCAATATTTCACAATGAAATTGTTTTTATGAGGAAACGTTTTTTAAAATCAAAGAACTACCAAGACACCTATCACCTTGAGACAAATTGTGATAATTGTTTGGTAAGAGTCCTTCAAATTCTAAAGTTAAAACAAACATAAAAAACTTCAACATTCAGAGTGCAATGGTCAATGCCTTTGATGTTTTGTTTTCTTTACTTTCTTACATTTTCATCTTATATGTGTATTCAAAATCCCTGTATTTAAAAAACTCCCTTTAATAGATGACTCACCACCTACTTGATTGACACTTGTACATGGTTCAAGTTGTTTTTATTAATGTTTGTATCATAAATCTAAACTGTCAGTGTGTTTTGTTACTTTTAGGTCATGGATGTGACTATGGACCAATATTGGAGTGCTATAGGCAACTTCCAACCATATGGCCCCATCGACTCCATTACTGCAAAAGCTGAGGCCTTGAGGAATAATCCTCAATTACCAAACCATAACTGGTCCTTTAAACATAAGTGCATTTTTTACTGTTAGGTCATGGGTGTGACAATAGACCAATATTGGAGTGCTATAGGCAACTTCCACCCACAAGGGCCCATCAACTCCAGTACTGTATAAGCTGAGGCCTTGACGAAAAATCCTCTATTGCCAAACCATAACTGGTCCTTTAAACATAAGTGCATTTTATTACTGTTAGGTCATTGGTTTGACAATAGACCAATGATGAAGCACTATAAGCAACTTCCACCCACATGGCCCCACCAACTCTTACGTAATAGCTTAGGGCTTAAGAAGCAATCCCCAATTGCCCTACCATACCTGGTCCTTTAAACATAAGTGCATTTTGTTACTTTTTGGTCATGGATGTGACAAAATCAAGGAGAGCTAGGGGCAACTTCCACCCACATAGCCCCGTGAACTCCAGTTATGAAATAGCAGAGGCCCTTAGAAACAATCCCCAATTGCCATACCATACCTGGTCCTTTAAACATGAGTGTATTTTGCTACTTTTAGGTCATGGGTGTGACAATAGACCAATGGCGGAGTGCTATAGGCAACTTCAACCCACATGGCCCCACCTCCAGTTATGTAATAGCTGAGGCCCTGAGGAACAATCCCCAATTGCCATACCATACCTAGTCCTTTAAACATAGTGTATTTTGTTACTTTTAGGTCATGGGTGTGACAATAGACCAATGGCGGAGTGCTATAGGCAACTTCCACCCACAGGGCCCTTCCAATTCCAGTTATGTAATAGCTGAGGCCTTAAGGGGCAATCCTCAATTGTTGCTAGTGATCACCTTCCTTTTGCTGATAGGGGGAGTTGAATCCAACCCAGGTCCTGAGACACAAGGTAAAGTTATGGATAAAAGTTTTTAAATACATAAAGATATATACTAAAACGTTATACGTGGTTTATATTACTTAGTGATAAAATAACAGATGAGAAAATTAAATTTTGCTGTGATTTTATCAAATCTTGAAGCACTTAGAATCGAATGGCAGTAGAAAATCAACTTGGTATGAACTGGCAATTCCGTTTAATTTTGTTATTTCATGTTTATGTTCTGCAGAGACTACTGCTGATGCAATGCATCTGCTTGGCCAGAGAATAACAGCATGTGATCAGAAGACAGAGCTCAAAAAGCAAGCTGGGTACATGTATAAATTGGGATTAGCTTATGCCAAACTGGCATGTGAGACATCAGATCATTGGCAGTTCATCTATGCAACAGCACTCCTCAATGCAGCACTACAACGCATTGAGAAAAAGCCAAAGGCTGTTGGAGGCATCCTAGGTAAGTGTTTACCTCTAAGTGTTAGAGGCAAACATATACTAACTGTACAATCTATAACTGACCAGTTGCAACGAATAGAGACCGACTTTCTTAAAACAGTATCTAAAGTCAACAATGAATCAACTGCAGACTGTACAGAAAGGTACAAGAATCATCTGGATCAAGTAAGGACATATTCTACTGATACCATAAATAAGATTCATAAGAATGACATGCAAGTAGATAGTGTTACATCTGAAATGAGTGATGAATGTGAAGACAGGCTAATAGTGAACAGCAAAGAGTTCTATAAGAACCTTACAGGTCAGATAAAAGAGTTTCATGGGGTAATATTTGATGAATGTGTGAAAGTACTAGGTGCTCCAATGTGTAGGTTTGTGTTTCTAGGGTTAGGTTCACTGGCTAGAAAGGAGGTGACTGCATGGTCTGATCTTGAGTCAGCAATCATTTATGATCCAAATGGCAAATCACCTTCGGAAATTGGTGAGATCAAACAGTATTTCAGGGTCCTTATGCATTATTTTCACATGAAAATCATCAATTTGGGTGAAACTCGTTTAAATGTTCTTGATATACCTGTCCTCAGTGATTTCAATTCACAACTTGATCAAGGTTTTGAGGACAATAATTTTTCTGACATGGTAACAAAACAGGGTCTCTGTTTTGATGGTACCCTTCCTAAAGCAAGCAAGACACCATTTGGAAGAAAGTCCACCACTGTTGCAAATGTAAAGTCTGACAAGCTAGAGCTTATTATGACATCTAAAGAAATGGCTAATTGTCAGTTAACAGCTATTTCAATTAAAGAAGGGTATCACCTTAGTGATGTGCTTCTTACATCTACTTTTATTAAAGGAGACAAATTTCTATGGGAAATGTATAATATGAAGGTTCATAACACTATTGAATTGCAGTCATCATCAAATCTAAGTATCTCGATAGGTCAAGAACGTGGATATGCTACATTAAAGGATGACTTAAAAAATTATGACAGCAATCCTTTAACACCCGAGTCATTGCAAAAACAAATGCGCACAAAACACACAATTTACAGATTTGCCACAATATCTATCAACATTCTCAAACTGATATATCACTGTAAGTCAGTTAGCCCCCTTGATATCTTAGAGGAGTTGGAACAGAAACAGGTTCTGACTGAGAGAGCCAAGAAAGATTTACAAGTGATGGTTTGTCTAGCCACTAATATTAGGCATCTTGTATACAGCAGATATGACCAGCAAGAAGAGATTGTATCCTTCCTGGCTCCAAATCCTAGTCATTTGACTTCAGTTAACCCAGATGTAGTATCTGTGAGGGATTTCAATGCAATATACAGGTTCTATGCTACATTATTCCCCTGGTCTGAATTTCTAAAAACACACTCCACAGATCTAGCAAAATGCACACATCTAGCTAGATATATTGATAACAGTGATACTACAAAGGGCCAGCTCCATGAAGAAATGCTATTCACTGATAATGCACTCAAAGCCTATATACGTGAAGAAGAGAGGCTCATATTACTAGAAGGGAAAGAAAACCAAATAAAATGCAGCAATGTGAAACAAAGCATAGGCAAGCTTTATGAATCTCAGGGAAAGTACAATCTGTCAATGAAATACCATGAACAAAGCCTCACAATGTACAAACAGATATTTGGAGATAAGCCACATCATGGTATAGCACAATCACTTTATGGTATTGGTAAAGCGTATAAAGGAAGAGGTGATTATACCAATGCAATCAAATACTATAAGCAAGGTCTGAATATGATGAACCACATATATGAAAATCAACCACATTTAATAATAGCAAACATATTAAGTAGCATTGGAGATGTATATTTCAGGACAGCCAATTATAACACGGCAATACAATACCATAAGCAAAGTCTAGAAATGTACAAAAAGTTACTTGGGGACAAAGCACACTCTGGAGAAGCAAATACAATCAGGAACATTGGAATTGCATACTGGAGTAAAGGTCACCATGACCAGGCTATTCAATACTACAATCAGAGTCTGGAAATGTACAGAAAGACATATGGAGACAAGTCACATCCTGACATAGCAAATACACTAAACAACATTGATGTTGC